CGTGACAGACAGGCTTTGAACCCATCACAGACCGTGACAGACAGGCTCTGCTTCGTCATGAACCACGAAAGCGATTGAACGGAGACGAATATTAATAGAGGGAAAAAAATATTCGGTAAATTTTTCCTTTAAGCTTTTTGAGTTTGTAAAGAAGGTTTCACTTGATTATTAATAACTGCTACATCGTGTTTCACATTTTTAATCCCGCAAGGGATTGCGCTAACAGCTTTTTTTTCTTATTGTATAATATCAATTCGCATCAATAAAAGACAAACACTTTAAAAGAAACGATTCGTGTCGATCTAGTAATTGTCGCACACGTCGCAAGCAAAAACAGTGACCGAAATGATTGTTTTTCCTTTTATGGAAATCATTCCAAACAAAGATATCATCGTAGAATAGTGAGGAACGTAGATCAGTCATAAACATGGTTTTTAATCTTCTTTGAATATAATTTTTTATGTAAAATTCAAAAGGGTGCTTACAAGTGAATTTGAACATAATTATATGCTGAAACGACGAGACAGCGATGCGCATCAGTCGAAGGCTCACTCAGAACTTTTGTAGCAATATACGTTGTTGAGATTCTGGAAGAAGAGAATACAGAGGAAATAGCCACGCAAGATGCAGGAAAGTGTAAGCTGTAAGATTCTCATTTCTGAGATGTCTATGACTCTTGTCCCACACTACGGATTAGGCTAGATGACAATTATATTTAATCCCGATCTTCTACGAGAACGAGATGTCTCATGTAACAAAAAGAAAACATTCTTAGCGGTTATTGATATATTGATAAAGGGACGTTATGGAGATTCAGTAAGGTTTTATTTATATTAATAAAACCAAGAAAATATAATAATAAAGATAGAAAGATGAGAAATAATATGAATATGAAAAAACAATAATAATATAGGATGGATAAAAATATTTTTTCAGGGGGTAACGCTATGATTTCAAAGAACATTCATAACAAATTTTGATACCAAATTAAAGCGCATCAAAAATATGATTTATCGATGCTAAATAGTAAAGGTTATGGTAACTTTACAGTGTTGAATTCAGGACATGCCTAGAGTTTTACACCATATTGATATCGAAAGATTACTTTCATGAGGAAGTTCAAACTAGATCTTATTGAAAATGATGAATAATATAAAGTACTATTTATCTCTTAAGATTTCATGAATATGACCAATAATCAGTGTGCTCACCATTAGCTTTCTTTGCAGTATGAAGATTAGACGGATATGGACATGACATAGTTTCAAATAACTGAATGTTTTTCTCCATGTTAGTCAAAATATCAAAAATATATTTTTCAGAGTTTCTTCACCCTAAAAATTGTGTTCCGTCTCTAATAGCATTTTGTTTTAGTTTCATTTTTGATTATTGCTCCAATATTTTCGGGTCAGGTGTCAAGTAAATTGTGCTGTCCATCATTTTCAATGAGATCTAGTTTGAACTTCCTCATGAAAGTAATCTTTCGACATCAGTATGGTGTAAAACTCTAGGCATGTCCTGAATTCAACACTGTAAAATTCCCATAACCTTTACTATTTAGCATCGATAAATCCCATTTTCGATACACTTTAATTTGGTATAAAATTTGTTATGGATGCTATTTGAAATCATAGCGTTATCCCCTGGAAAAAGATTTTTACCCACCCTGTAGAAAAAGGTGAATTAACCATATATCACCGAAGAGAGAAAACCAATAAGTATATCACTGGAAAAGAGGAACAACAACTGAGAGAAAGCTTACAAGATTGTATCGAAGATATCTTATTTCTCGATAGTCAAAAATTTTCAGTTCATTTATCAGACAAGAAGTTTTCGCTGGACAGTTTTTCCATTCAGACATTATTGATTGAAACTATAACATTGTGTATCACGTAGGCTTCAGCCAGAGCTACAAACAATACCACCTAGAAAGCATTGTTGGCCGAAAACCATAAGATGTGAGTGTGAGGTATAGATATGTGGGTGCCAGTATGTGAACCACCGACACTCACCCCCACCCACATTCACATTCACACTCAAACCTGTAAGCGTGAATGTGTCGATATGTGGTTGCAAGTTCATTTTTTCATTTCATCCGCACCCACCCTTTTCGACACTGAGATAGAAAAAAATTATTTAGGGTTTCAAAATGTATTAGAACTGAGTTATTTTGTTTAAAATACAAACTAGCTATATTTGAATAAAAAGATACCCTCTAGGGTAGTTCGAGTCTCTTTAGGGAAAAACATGCGCTAGCAATGGTAAGACCTCTGAAGGGAGCGTTGGTGGTGTTTGATCATGGCTATAACTAACATTGTACTTGATGCCATCCAATAGCTCTCGTTGAGTTCGATCAGGAAATTTTTTTTTCACGAATTAAATAAGTCGATAATTAAGTAGTCAATGAAAATATACAATTTTTTCATAAAGTTAGTGTGGTAAAACAAATCCTTTAAAATTTTCTTGTAGTTTTTGAAAAGAAATCTTTTTTAAAGATTTGATTTTAGTATTAAATTCGATACGCTTTCTGACACATTTGACATCTTCCTCCATTCATTTCTGAGCAAATTTCTCGATGAAACAATGTGAATCCTGTGCTATCATTACCTATGCAACTTTATGTCTCATTTACAAGTTGATTAGTTTTTTGAAAATTTTTTTCGAAAACATGTATCTATGTCAATTTTTATTGTGTAAATTTGATCTAGATACTCTATTTATATAATAGAAAGTTTATATTGGTTAAATATGAAGATGTTTTGTCCCTGTGTTACATTGGACGATACGACTTTTGTCCATCGACTTTCAAACTTTGAAGCTTTTCTGAAACTTTCTTCTAAAAAGCGTTAAGAAGATTTTATACATCGTGAAGTTCTTTGCAAGATCCACTTAATTAAAGTTGTGCTCGAAATAATTATCAAATTGAAAAACTATTTGTCATCAAGAAAAATTGGTTTGAAAAAATGGATTCTTTCGAAAAATCTAATTTTTCCATATCAAAATTCAACTTTCTGAGGAACTTAAAAGATGCATATTTGTTCAGCTTTGATGAATTCTTTTCAAGAAGATTATGCTCAAACGGAACGAGCATAATAGAAGGACGAAGATGTTAGAGAAACATTGAACATATTATTATTTTCTCGATTTTTTAAGCCCCTTATTTGTTTATGACCTGTAACTTTGTCAAATTACACCGAACAAATATGAAAAGCTTTCATAACCACAATATGATGTAAGGAATCAATTCATAGAGAACAATTAAATATCAATTTTGACTATAAGATCGACTTTGTCGATGGAAGCAAAGGTTCTCTCAGAATCAGGGATGGCTCGAGCAGAAAGATGACTTCCCAATCTTTAGAAATTTTCGATTTTTTCCTCAGCAAATTTCCAATGTTTCATTCTTTTTTCTTGCCTACCAATTCACAAAAAAAAACGCCCAATCTCCCGCTCTGAAATCGTAGCCCTTTCACGATTCCCATGCTTACAATGCCAATGAAAAATCTTAGAAAAACATAATGTCTCGGCAATCTACAATTGAGAAATCTCAAGAAAATCTAGAAAATTGATCAACTATATAGGCTTAAATCAGAGAGAATTTCTTTCGATTGAAATCACCTTGGAGAGCAATTTAAAAAACTCTAATATTTCATCCCTAAGCCAATATTTTTAATGATCAATCAGTTAGTAAAACGAAGATAAAGTTTGTGCATGCTCAATTTTAGGTCACCAAGTTGGTTATGTTCATAGTGATATTAGAACCAAAAACATGATTGTTTATGGTCATAATATATATATTATTGATTATAATAGTGCTATGAAACCCGAGATTCTCAGTTATTATCAAGGATATTTATCAACTACTTCAAAGAGTATTTTGAAAATCCTCAAGTCAAATATTCAGCAATCTTAAATAAATGAAAAGATATCATTGTGCTATGCCGACGATGGTATATCATATCTAAAAACTATTTTGTTGTTTAAATCATATTTTCAAAAATATACATTAATAATTAAAACAACAATTGAAAATCGTATGCCTTGTCATATTTTACCAACGTATGAATATGCCATGAAGCAATCAAGATATTACTAAAACAATTACATATTTAGAAAAAAATCGTAGTACTTTATCAATTGATTATTTACATAAAACTACTAAATGTACATTAGAGAACGAAGCTAAAGGTGAGGATGTGAGTATGGGATGTGCGAGTGTGGGTGCCGATGGGCTGAAGGCATAGGCTCAAACCTCTACTCATACTCACACTCTGTTTATGGATGAATTAAAAGGTGAATTCATTACAAGATTTAATCAATTAAACGCACAAATTAAACGTGTTGAACAAAAAATTGAAGATGTTGATAAAAGAGTTAATAAAAAAGTTGATCAACTTCCTCAAAAAATTGATAATAATCATGAAACAAATGCAACATAATTAATATTAAATCGACTTCATGCTGATCATAATCTCGATGTTTCTTACATGCCAAACTAATCGAACATTTAGTGAAAATTATTCTATATATACTAAAGATTTATTTAATCGTTTTCAAAAATATTTACACCCTAATTATGAACATTTATGGACAAAGAATCATCAAGATATGTTAATTTCTATTAAACCACAACAAATAGAATTCGATATTTTGAGTTTTGGTTTTCAACATTCGTCAGAAGAACACACACTTATTGAATCTTCAAATTTAGAAGCTATTTTTGCATCATCATCATATAGCTATTTAAAACTACTTAACGCAAATACAGTAATATTTGCTGAATTTTTCTGCCTCATTCCTGACTTTCACAATGATAATCCTTTAATTTGTGACAAAAAGGTATTACTAGTAGTTTATCAACATTTTGGAATTTATTCGTAACACTCTCTATTTTATCATTATTTATTCTAGAATATTTCATCAAATCTAATCAATACTAAAAGAAAAAAATCATCATTTAAGTTGTTCCAAAAGCTTCTCTGGCTAGAACGTGTGGGTGAGGATGGGTATGGGTGTGAGTGTGGTAGAACAGAAGACACACACCCACACCGGTACTCACTCTCAAATCAAATTAATTCATTGTATTCAAAGTTCTTTTTAAAAATCAAAGATAAATGTTCTTAGTTGAAAAAAGAATTTCCATATGTCATAATCAAGATCATTATCCATTTGATTAGTTAATTTAACAGATACTTTTGTTCTTTTTCTGTTTTCTATCATAATCTTCCATAATAACATCAGATCATTGCTCAATGATTGAATATACAAATTTCGATAAGGAAGAAAAAGTTAATAATTTATATGTACATAACATCTGTGTTGATGTTTCATGTATATAGAGAGATGACATTGTTAACTAAAAACATTTGAAATAATTTGGTTACCAGAACATATTCCGAATGATATTCAATTAATTGAAGCAATTAAAACAAAACTTCATGAACTTAAACAAATCATAATTGGTTAACAAAATTTTTCTTTTATTACAAAACGAATTCTTCCTTTTTTTTCCTCTTCATAGAAAACAATGAAAACGAAGAAGAATGTCATCATTCTAAATTACTGAATGATAATAGTTCAAGTAATAGTGATGCTGAACAAATCCCTATTGCTTTAACATTAACACATGAAGTACCACTTGAAAACTTATCAAATACTCTTCATCAATCAGATAATGAAAATGAAGAAGAACAAGCAAGACAAGTTTTATTAGAACAAAATAATAGTAGTGAACATGAAGATGATGATACAATCTTATTGTGACCATCGATTTGTCTAAAACGTATATTACAAACGATGCTTGTAATTCAATTAAATTAATCGTTGTTTTCTTTTTATTAATTATGATTATTCATGATTATCACTACATAAAGTTTTAATTAAACGTTCTAAATCATCATGTTTATAAATTTTATAATAATGATTTAAACCAATATTGAATAGAGCCCAATCAGGAGCTTCTTTTTTAAAATCTTCTTGAACAAAAACAGGATAAATTTTAATTTTTTTATTAATAGCAAATTCCCATTCCCTTCGACAAAAATATGATGCACAATATGCATTACTAAGAAGAACAAAAACAACTTTTGATTGACGAATACCACTTGTTATTGTATCAACCATATTATCTTTCATACAATTTCTATCAACCCAAATATTTGTAAAAAGATTCGCTTTTTCTAATGCTTGAACAAATTCATCACATTGACGTGTATCACGATGACAATAGGAAATAAATGCTTGTCGACTATTTCTATTAATTGATACTTAACAAAAAAAAATAAACAAAAGAAAAACATAATCGTTTTTTTAGAAAAAGATTATAGTCTTTACTTGGAAGCTCTTTTTCTTGCTCTGATACAAGATTTTGACGAATTTGTTCGATAATTTTTTTTATCCTTGGATCAGTACCAAATAAAAAATTAGCTTTTGTTGTTAAAAATTCGTTTAATTCGAAATTATTTTTTAAATCTTGTTTCATATCTGGTGATGAAGAAATTTTACAAAGAATTTTAAGTGCATATAAATGATGCTGTTCTGCATAAGTAACTATTTTGGATATGTATGGGAGTGTTTGTTTTTTAAAAAAATCTTGAGTAAGAAATCGAAGTAAATAAAGAAGAAGTAGTTCAAATGATATTCCTTTATATTGAATACTTCCTTCAGCAACTGCTCGATCAATAAAATCAAATATAAGTTTTACTATATCTTGAGCCATATGCGGGTTTTCCTTTTGTAAATCTTTAAAATCTTGAAAACTCATTAGACTTGATAATGTTGATACAGCCATTAAACGAACACGTTCATATTTTGCATCAATATAAGGAATTATTATTTGAGATGCATTTAAATTTTCATCTGAACGTTTATTCGAACGCAATAAACGAAGAACTTGATTGGGTTCATCTAATGATAAACAATCATTAATATTTTCATCATCATTCAGATCTCTTGATGTATCATACCATTTATTAAGAAATATCAGTGCTACATCAACTAATGAAGTAATATCATTTGAATTAGATTGTATCGCTTCATCTCGAATAATATTTGATCCTAATAATCGAAAAATTATTAAAGAAAATAGATTAATATTAAATGGATTTGCTAGTTGTGCATCATCATCATTTTTATTTCCTAATGCTCTATTAATAATATGAATCCAATTTTCTGTTGGTACACAATTGGTAAGTATAGCAAGAATACCACGAAGACAATAAAGAAATAATTTATTTTGTTCAAAATTTTTTTCACTTAACACTATTCGAACATATTTTGCAAGTAAATAAATATATTTTTTTTTATCATCATTTTTTAAAATTCCTCTATTTTCATCAAATAATGCAACAGCAAATGTACAACATCCAATAAAAAATGTATGACGATAACTTACATGCATATTTTTATTGAATTTCATATCATATAAATAATTTTTGGCATGACGATGAATAAGACATAGATTAAGTTCATTATTAAGATTTCTTGGAGGTGGATTAAGATCCTTAAAACATAATCGATATGTAAATGATCGTGCATCAAGCATACGCATAAGATAAATCAACATTTCATCTTCTTCATGTGTATTATCATTAGATGATTGTTCATCACGAATAAATATAACAGCTTGTTTTAAATCATCAATTTGTTTTGTTCGAAATAAACATGTACGAAATAATTCAATAATATTTTCATTATTTATTGTTGATTGTAAATCAAAAACACAATATTCAACAAACGATAATTGAAGATTTGAATATAGATCAATAAATTTTCTTTCATCATTTGTTAATCTATCATTTGATATCCATTTTCTAATAATATTATTAATAATTAAATCAAAACGACGATCTAATGTATTACCAATACTTAAATAATCTTTCGATTTTTCGAGTTCTTGTAATTGTAATAATAATGAATTCAAATCATTATGATTTGTCATTTTAATTGAAACTTGTTGATAATCTTATCAATAAAAAAAGTCGCCTGTTGTTGACATTGAAAAAAAACTCTGTGACAGAATGTAAACGCACTTAAGAAACTGTTGCTTTTTTTTCTTCCTTCTTTAGCTCTTTAAGAATATGTAGAAGGATGAGATGAAAAAAAAAAAGAATGAAAAATGTACCTCAATGGCAAAAAACAACATAATTTGCCAATTGTGTACACTACATAGTAGTATTTACCAATGCGACAGTTGACATCACAAACAGTCAGCCGTTTGAGTGATGAAAGTTTGTTTTCATTCTAATTCCACTATGCAAATCACGACTGAATTCAAAAGAAAGAGATTACCTAATATTCTTTATACTTTCATTGAAAAAATATAACTCTATTCAATGAATTCATACAACTGCACACAATTAATTTTCTTTCAATAGACAAGTCTATCATCACATTACTTGTCAAGTCTCCAAGAAATTCTCAACTCCAATATATTTTTATTATTTACGATATAATTCATCGTGAAAAAACGAAGGAAGAATATGCCTGTCTTTCGACTGCCTTATGGTATGTGTTGCTGCTTAGCAACAGATTTATTAGCCCGATATCTACCCTACAACTGATACTAGCTGTAGCTCTACATAGAAAGTCAGCCTGATGCACAGTTCTTGCGCTCAATCGCTTAAACTCTCCATATATACTGACTAATCACATACTAGCTACGAGGACAGATAAATATCACAACTTAGTCAGCATGCTATCGGACGGCTGATCCGAGACAAATAGCCGTCAGTAACTTGTCCAGGGTCATTCCATGGCTGATAGTACCGAGATTTGAACACAGTAACTATTGGATACATGTCGAACAGCATAGCCACTCAGCCATGAGGATCGATCCATTTTGACAAATGTAAGACTTACGAGGAAAACCTCTTCAGATGCCTCCTTCCTGTTTCAACAACTTTTTGCCTATAGATACTGTATAGTGTAATAATAAAAATCCTAAAAACATTTGAGTTTTTATTGAGATTTGACTAAGCTATCGAATTTTTTTCTAAGAGGTCCTAAGTTTTTGGAAAACTCATGTTTTCGAATTTTGATCTGAAGCTTTGTACATATAGAGAACTCAATTAGAGTGATCTCATAAAAGACTAGTCTAGCTGGATTCCCTATGTGCACAAAGTTTCAGGCCGAAATTCGAAAATACGAGTTGTTCGAAAACCTAGGACCTCTAGAAAAAAAAAATCGATAACATAGTCAAATCTCAATAGGAATCAAAATCCTTTTAGAACTTTTATTAGAATACTATGTAGTATCTATAGGTAAAAAAAATCATTGAAATTGAAAGGAAAGTATCTGAAGAGGTTCCCTTGTACGATAATGAAAGAAAAAATTATGTTTTTTATTATTAAAAAACAGGAACTAAGAGAGGAAGGAAAATCGTTTTTGTCTATGATTTCATATGCAATAGAGATGGACAACTTCACTATATCATGCTTCAACTCTATACCACTCCAGTCTTATTCTCTAAAATCTCATTCCAATTCCACTCCGGATCTACATCAGCTTCATTACAACTCTACTCATCAATTGTTAAATTCTACTCCAACTCTAATAAGAAAAAGTGTCAACGTTGGAGCTAACTCCGCGTTATAGTTGTGTATGTCTGATGTGCAATAGCCGTCGATGTCCTGATGAATGAAGATTACCCATTTAGATAAAAATATCTGAATAGGTACTTTCCATATTTTCAAGAAGTTCACATATTGAATCATGTAAAAGAAAAACTAATCACAATACAAAAGACAACAATAATAATAAAGCTGCATGACAAGGTCTTTGATAAAATCGATACCAAAGTATATTTGAAGAAATATAAATTTTTTACCTAAAACAAATACGAACAAAGCAGTACCATGCTGCCTGACTTTCATTGGTGTAGGTGTGGGTGTCGATTGTCTATTCTTTCACACCCATACAATCAAATATTCGATTTTGGTTTACATTTGATTCGATTGCACTATTAAAAATGCAGGATTTCATCACATACATTTTTTAAATTGCTTAGCTAATGTTATCAATGTTCAATTTGAAAAACAGGTTACGATAAGTAGAATGTATGCAAGTCAATGGTTTATAAATCATTCATTTCATAAAGACGATTATCAATTGGTTTGAACTAAAAAAATCATGAAGATTATTATAATATTTTTGAAGATATTCAAGTGTTCCGTAGAATTTGAAACATAAATGCAATTTATATTATACGTGACTTTTTCTAAGAATTTCTTTTTCATTCTTTCTATCATCATCTTTTTAGTAAATCTTTTTCGATATAATTATATCGGTAAACTTCAAATATTTAACAAAGATAATTTCTGAAATTCTCGATGACGTATGGATTCCAAAGAACATAGACACAAAAGTCATTAACGATCACGCATTGCTCAAAGTCAAAAATGAATATGCATCATTTTGCATTTGAATAATTACCAACATAGCACAGCATGAGATGGACAGCTTTTATATATAAGGAAAAATGTGTCTTCCTCTTCTTTGCATGAGTTGCATTTTGATGAAAAATGTTGGTAATAGTTGATAGGCTTAATCTCAATTACTGCAATTAAACTTTTTATTTCTACGCCACAAAGAAGAAATAACGATGATAAAAATATAACTCAGGAAAAATATGACGTCATCAAATTAGTGATATTGCATCCGTTTGTTTACATAGTTTTGTTTTTCTCATTGACAAAAATAACATTCGCTGTCATGATAAGTTGCTTTGCTTTGGTTGATTTGATAGTGCAATATTTCTGTGAAAC